GCTAAAGCCTAAGCTCCTCTCAGCATTTACTCCCAATGCCCTCCTTTCCCACACTCAGTTCTAAACTTCGCAATCCCACTTCCAAATCTTTTTTTTTTTTTTTAAAGATGACCGGTAAGGGGATCTTAACCCTTGACTTGGTGTTGTCAGCACCACGCTCAGCCAGTGAGCAACCGGCCATCCCTATATGGGATCTGAACCTGTGGCCTTGGTGTTATCTCCCGAGTGAGCCACGGGCCGGCCTCCCCCCCCCCCTTTTTTTTTTCTACTCCCAAATCTTGATGGCGGTCACCGGAAGGGAGCTGAGGTGGGATGGAGTCTTCATAACGCCCCTGTGCAGTCTGTAAGCTTCAGACTATACACATCAGGCTGACTTTGTTAGTGGTCACACCTACAGTCTTGTAGATGCAAAACGGCAGCTGGTCAAGGTCAGAGTACTTCAGAGTGTGTGATTGTCAGGGTGGGTAGAGAGGGATGGTGCAGAAACAGGAAATGTTGAATATGCTTCTTAAAATTGTGGGAAGAAGAAATATCTATGTGATAGACATATGTATTTAACCCATTCAGCCTAACATGTACTTCTCAATAATAGAAGTTATGAAAGTAGACCCTCCCCTCCAAATACATGTTCAAAAGCATGAACTCTTAAGAAAATGACAGGGTATTTAGCAGAAAAGTCTTTTGGGAAAGAAAAATATATACAGATAGATAAAACATATATATGCAATCTGGCGTATTCCTTAGAGACAATTTTCAGGCAAATTTCTCTTGGTGTTTGTTACTGTGTTTAATTACGGGGTAACAGCATTTCTCTCTCTCTCTCTCTCTCTCCCTCCCTCCTTCCCTCCCTCCCTCTCTCTCTAATCTGGATGATTTCATCAGCTTCGTAACTGATTTCTTTGCTTACCTCTCTCCACCTACCTCCAACCTCCACAGTTCTGCCTTTTCTTGTCACAGAGCTCCCAGATCTAAAGCCCTCCCATGGCATGCACATTCCTTGCAGCCTTCTGGTCATGTCTGTGGTCTCATCTTCTATCATTTTCCTCAATTCACAACCTATATTCTGATTACCCCAAAGCATATTCTTCCTACCTGACCAGGTTCTCTCTCAGATGTTCAAGCCTTGCTATTCTGTTTCTTTTTTTCCAGAACCCCCTTTGGCGTGGCCATCCGGTCAAATACAACCTATTCTTCTTCAAGTCTCGTTCTAGCTGTGTCTAGTTTCCTCAGGAGGTCTTAGCTGACAGGTAAGGGAAGCAGGAGCTCCAACCATTCTGCTTTCATACAGTATTGGGCTGACCTTGTATTATCCTTGCTTTTTATGTGGTTGTCTCTCTCATTTAAGGGCCAAACTTGTTGAGGGCAGGGATCTTGTCATTCATTCCTTGTGCCTTAGTACCTAGCACTGTATTGGAAATCAACAAGTATGTGTTGAATTAATGGTCTTTAGTAACATCATCGTTTGCCTTTTACACATCATGCAGTTATCTAGTATTTCCCAAAATTAATGGTGCTTATCACTTCCTGGCTTCACTTGTCACCTAGGAGACTTCCATGCTTCTTAGCTAAGTCTACGTTTAAAACCCCCCAGCTGAAGAATATTAAATATTGATAGCAGTGCTCTGATTTTCCCCCAAAGGCAAACCAAGAGCTAAAACCCAACTCACTGTCTGGTCATCATAGATAACACACACCAGACAGCACAACACATGGTGCCAGGTCTGAAAGGCATCAATCATACCCCCTTCTGTAGACCTAGCATGCAGGCTCACAAGTAAGGATGTAAATCCACTTTGTCAGAGCAAACATTCCTCTTGGGGGAAATCCGCTCAACCTCAGGGAGAGAGTAATGACCAAAGCCCACAGGCATCGGGGATGAGTAATTTACTGCTGCCAGGCAATTAGTGTTGCTAGAAAAAAAAAATTACTTTCATTTAAAATTCTCTTTAAACCATATGTATCATGGCTCATGGGATAATTTATGTATCATTTGAAACTAAGAAACATATATCACACTAATAAATTGTCTCCCCTATTCGCCACAGCCAATAGCTCCCAGGGCTCTTTAAGAAGTTGGAGTTTCGCTGTCCCTGTTATGGAAGGTGATGTGGAAACATTCGGACGTAACTCATAGCTTCTCATTCACTCCCTGGTTCCCTGGCAGAGATAAGTGGCAAGAGAAGCGCTTGCCATCATTTTCACACACTGGTTTGCAGCATCAAATGCTGCCAGTGAGCTCGTAGGGAGAACAGTAACAACGCATGGCCATTTTACTAACAACTTGAATGTCTACACTGAGAATTGATTTGTCTTCCCATTGCTAATAGGCTATTTTCTCCAAGACAGAGCATGTTTAACAATCCTACAGGCTCCCATTCACAGGTAGCCCCTTTATGCTGAAAGCAAATGACTGCAAAGAACTTGGAGAGAGTGCTGGTATGTCCAGCCTGTGGGGAAGATCCCAAAGGACTTCATTGCGCAAGGTCTGAGGTCATATGGCAACAGTGCATAAGTTTAGAAGTTGACCCACCCTAAACTCATTCTCTGTCAAGGGAACAAGATTGAATGGAAAGACAGAAAATGAGACTCTTCATTGATGGAGGGCAGGGCCTGGGCAAAGGAGAGCAGCTAGCATCAGCCTGCCAGTGCATTGTGGAAACAGTGATCATCACCACCAGCCACAGACATTTACTCTTCATCTTTGGGAGATAAGAAGCAGCCCCACAGCTATTCATTTGTGAGGTCAGAGATAAATGGTGTCCCCAAATGCCTGTTAAAAAGTAATTCCATGAGGGGCCGGCCCGGTGGCGCACTGCTATAGTGCGCCGCTTGGGAGCGTGGTGGCGCTCCTGCCGAGGGTTCGGATCCCACATACAGACCGGTTCCCGCTCACTGGCTGAGCGAGGCGTGGGAGCGACACCGAGGGTTGCGATCCCATTGCCGGTCCCGGTCTGGTACGGGGGCAACACTGAGGGTTGCGATCCATTGCCGGATACGGAAAAAGACAAAAAAAAGGAAAAAAAAAAAAAGGAATTCCATGAAAAGACATGGGGGCACCTTAAGTGTATATTACTAAGTGAAAGATGCCAGTCTCAAAAGGCTACATACTGCAGGATTCCAACTATAGGAATTTCTAGAAAAAGAAAAACGATGAAGACAGTAAAAAGATCAGTGACTGCCAGAAGTTGAGGGGAGGGAGGGAAATACTAGGCAGAACAGAGGATTTGGTCCCATGGAAGAGAATCAAAAGAAAGGCTTGGGTTTCAATGCAATGCCAGGTTTTGCATGAGTTATGTGACTTAAATGACAATCTCAGTTAATTGAGGTTTATCATTATAACTTAGAGGCAGAAAGTGACTTGTCTAGGTTAATCGGGAATTTTAACTCAAGTCTGTGTAGACGGCTCCCACGTCAGCACTCTTTCCTACCATCTCAAGTCAACAAGCTTAAGGATGTTGCATCTGGCTTTGACTGTGTCACTGCAAGCCAGGGAGGCAAATTCTACCAGGGTTGGAGATCCCAGATGGAGCCAGTAGGCAGAAAGAATGCATCTCCTAACTTTCATCATGAACTCTGAGAGGAGGCCTAGGGTAAGAGAGAAAATGGGTTGTCTCAGATGTGTCTATTAGCAGTCATGAGACAACAATGTTCAGTAAAATCCAAACAGATAATACAGTTGGTAAAGTGACAATTGCTTAAAATTATTAAAAAGGGAGAAAACAATGTTTCCACAGATACAGAGTAACCTTGAAAAAGATTTTTCTTCCTGAAACTGTTTAGTCTTGCTGTAGGGAAAACAAATAAAAGGGAACATGAACATGGAAGACCATGATTAATCTTCTAGTCATGGCTGCAGAATAAGCGAGAGGCTTTAATAGCAATTCTGTTCAGAGACAAAACTAAGTATACGATTATGGGGATATTCTCAGAAGTTAATAACTGGTCTAATTACATACCTGATTCTGGAGCCATGCAAATGATCTCAGAACCACCAGTTTAATGTTTCTGAGTTTAAAAATCAAACATAACCTTTTTTTTAAAAAAAACAAAAAATGGCAAGAGAACTGAAAGGATAATTTTAGCAAACTATTTTGTGTGTAGACACAAGTCATTTACTCTCTTACAGACTTTAATGGTTGCTAGAGTTTGGATGTGTTGTCCCCACCAAAACTCATGGGGAAATCTGATCCCCAATGTGGCAGTGTTGGGAGCTGAGTCATGGGGGTGGATCCCTCATGAATGGATTAATGCTCTCCCTGGGGGAGGGAGGCCTGAGTGAGATCTTGCTCTATTAGTTCCCAAGAGAGCTGGTTGTTTAAAAGACCCTGGCACCTCTGCTCTCTCTCTCTTGCTTCCTCTCACCATGTGATCTGCTTGTATCCACCGGCTGCCTGCTGCTTTCCGCCATGAGCAGAAGTAGACTGAGTTCTGCACCAGATGCAGCTGTCCCAGAATCATGAGCCAAATAAACCTCTGTTCTTTATAAATTACCCAGTTTCAGGTATTCTGTTATAGCAACACAAAATGGACCAAGAGAATGGTATTAACGGGATAATTTTCCCTGCCTAGACTAGATTTGGTGCTGGCACATAGGGAAAGAGTGGGGGCAAGGAGAGGAGGGGTACACAAGAAGGAAAATTGGGTAGGGGCTGGGAGGAGGGGCACAACTGAGGCCAGGGAAAAAGAACAGTCCTGGGATGAGGGTTGTGCTTAGTTCAAATCCTACTCTTCACAAATAAATTTAAAATAATTAACCCCTGAGATAGCTCAAGTATGAAATAAATCTATGCATAAAGTAATCTTAATCTCTCAAGTTATTATCATAAATATTTACTGAATAACTTTTATATACAAGGCCCTATATCTCTTTCACTCCTTTTGAGAAAGTGAGAAATCCCTTTTGGAGACTGGGTAGTTCAAAGAAATGTGACCTGAATTTTTCACTAGGTAGATGTTAAGAGACACCACATTTTAAAAAAAACAGTAGTAATGCCATATGGTATGATAAAAATAAATTTATTTGGGGAAAAAATATAGCATATTTCATTGCTTTAGTAAGGTAAATCCCCACCACTGTGGAGTTCAGTTGTTAAAATGAATGACCACTGCTACAGTTTACTTCCATATGCCATGTGTGCACAATCAATGATTAGCACAAGTGACAAGGTATCCAAATGACTCCATTTCCTATTCATCCCACTGACTATGCCAACAGTTGCTCCATAGTGCTAAAGACGAAATCCCACAGGAAAATAGGCCAAGAAATGTCCATTGCAAGAGGTCTTTTTCTTGGCTTATGTACGATCTTTAAATGGTTTAATAGATCTCCAGCGGGGGTCTCTAATTTGGTACTGCAACCAACTTCATTTCTGAGCAGACCATGAATTAACAAATGTCTCAAAACCCAGGAATCACTTTTAAAACATCCTTATTTGATGATAAACACATATCTTTAAATAAATGGGATTAAACATCATTGTTTTCCACACTATGAAATGTGATTTTTTTTCCATCCCAACATTATCATGTCATAAATTAACAGACTAATAGAGAATTTCATTATCACTGCTTAATTGCACTAATGCCCAGGAGTAGCCTATGGTCTATCCTTCATCATCCAAGTTTATAAAAAGTAACTTCAGAACTCCAGTCGCGGTCAGCCAGCTGGCAGTCAGTGCTCGTCCCCACTCCACAATTAACGAAGACAGTCCTTTTGGAACTGCTGGTCCCAGCCCTCTGGGGTCTCTCCGCTTTGCCACTGGATAAGGAGGCCCGAAATTTGATTGTTTTTAACAGAAGGACTTCAGTTAATAAGTATCAAGTGGTCATCGCTTCCTTTCCTGTGACAGAAAGGGGGAGGAAGAAAGAAAAAAAGAGAGAGCAATGATTCAAAAACCCTTGAGGAGAAATAGGAATCCTCTGTATTCTGTAGATACACATAGACATATGCATGAAGCGCATAAGTGGAAGAAAAATTAGAAGGGTAATTTACATTATTTGGGATGTGGGTGGATGCTTTTGGAAACAGACTGTGAGGAGCCATCCCTTAAAAGAGAGAGCAATGATTCAAAAACCCTTGAGGAGAAATAGGAATCCTCTGTATTCTGTAGGTACACATAGACATATGCATGAAGCGCATAAGCGGAAGAAAAATTAGAAGGGTAATTTACATTATTTGGGATGTGGGTGGATGCTTTTGGAAACAGACTGTGAAGAGCCATCCCTCTCAGGGCCCTCTGTCCCCCTTTTCTCACAAAGCCTTATCAGTGGTTAGAATAGCCAATTTTCCTCCTTCACTATGGTAGAGAAAGAAAAAGGTTAACTCTGCATCTGTTCAACCAAACATCTCTCTCCAAAGAACCACATCACTTTAGGATTAGAAGAGGTTTCCGAGCTCATCTGGCCCCAGATGACACTGGGACAAGAGGTTTAGGAGAGGTCACAGGACACACTTGGTTAATGGTAGGGTACAAAATGAAAACCCAGCTGTTCTGATGATCAGGGTAGAGGCTCTGTCAGCAATTTGAAGGAGGATCAATGTGTGGTGGTTGCTGGACTGCTTTGTTGAAAGAGTGACACATCCATGCTCTGCAGGAGGCAGAGCTGGGACAGATGGGTGTTGTCTGTCATGGTCACCAGACAGGAAGAACAGACACCAATCTTTGCAGTGCTATTCCCCATGTGACCTGAGTGAGGTCTTTCTCCAACATTTACTCTCCATCCATAGACTTCTTCAATTTTACTCCCATCCCTCTGTTCCTTGTTTTTAAACATATCAAGGTATACTTAATTTCTGAAGGAGTCAAAGCCATCAGTTGTTCTCGAGGCTCCATTACAATCCATTTTCTTCCATCAGGGTCTATGACCTTCATTTATTCTCTGCCAGTTCCATCCAAACCCCCTGGGATCTAGGCTTTGGTCTGATGATGATACTGAAACTGTTCTAGCTGACTTTACCCATGATGGTCTTTTAGCCAAACGTGGTAACAGCCTCTATATTTTTGTTTGTTTGGAATTTTTTGTTTGGTTTTTGGTGGCTAGCCAGTGTAGGGATCCAGACCCTTGACCTTGGTGTTATGACATCACTCTAACCAGCAGAATTAACCAGCCAGTCCCTGTCTTCATTTTTTGATATCCTCATCCTAGTTCTTCAGCTGATCTCCCTGGTGGACTCTCTTGTTCCCTAATTCTTTCATTCCTCATGCTGGGCAGGCCTTCCTTCACACCAGGTTTCTCAACAACCTTAGCACACCTTAGCACACCTTAGGGCCAACTGTCTGATGATGTTACTCTCTTTTCCTCACTGTCAGATCCGGTTTTATCAATAAGTCTTCCAGTCCACTCCTTACATCTTTTACTCGTTCCATATGGCTACACAAGAAAACATTTAACAACCTTCTAGGTCTTTTTGTGGTACAAACCAAGGGCCAAACACCAAAGACCTATCAGTTACTTTTCAAATTTACAACTATATTCTTTGATGAATTTTTTTTCCCTTACAGTTAACTGCATAATAGAAAAGCAACTTTGAAAGAATTTCCCTATACAGGGTGCTTCTTAGGAGGCAGCTGCCTATTAAGAAAATTAATTTCCCTTTACTCCAGCTTCCACAGCAACAATTTAATGCTCTGAGAGGATGAAATGTGATTTTGAAAACTTAACTCTTCTCAGAAGACCTCATTTCATATTTACCAGACATCCTTTGGATATGCTCAATCATATCATTTCAACTCCCAAGATGCGGTAAAAATTGATTAACAGAAAAATATATCCTGTGGTTTTAAGTAGCAATTATGTTCTCCCATCTTCCTTTAGAAATTTCGTTTAGAGAATCCTTCTCCAAAAAATATGGGTAGGGTATACTTTTAGTTAAAAACCCCTACCCCTGACTTCAGAGAAAAACAAACATGGACACGTTGAAGAAAACTGTCCTCATCTGACCCCTCTTCTAGTCTCCAAACCACTGTGTGGTATGCTTTGTCCACTGAGGTCTAGACCATTTTCCTGTGTCCTGACAAAGAGCAAGCAAAACACAGCTGGTCTACGAGGAGCTGCTGATGTGGGTGTCCAACCAAGGCATGTACAGCCTCCTCTCAAGCACACTTCCTGCTCTGTTCAAGAAAGGTTATGTGACTGCATACTGCGAAAAGAGAAAATGCCTTGGACATTTCCAGCACTCCACCTCTAAAAATAAGAGCTTTGACCTCTTACTTTTGCCCCTGAAGAATTCAGCTTCTTGATTTTAGGGACATAGTCCATGCCTTCTCATCACAGTCTCATAATGTTCCCAAGAGATTTCAATTACATCATGTAGCTTTCTATACAATCCTGTTTTATAGTACACAATTCACTTCTAAAGCCAATTTCAGTGGGAGCAAAGAAAACCAAGATGAATTGTTTCCCATGAGAAGTTGATTTCTGAGTGTAATGTTAACCTTGGACTGACTCTTAAGGCAGCAAAGCATGGAAATTAAACACAATACTGACCTCCTGTGACAGCAGATGCAGGACAGGAAGGTCGGGGACTCTTTCTGATACTCCTCTTTGCTACTACATTCCTTCAGGAATTCCTGCAGATCGGTTTCAGGAAACCCATTCTGTTGGTATTTCTTTTAAAAGTACACAATGTTGTTACCTTATTTATTGAGAATGAGAAATTGCTCCCTTTGTCAACAAACAAAACCCACCTTTTCTAAAATAAATCTCTCCCACATTGCTAGCTCAGATCCAAAAACTGATATTAACAATGATGAATCAATCTGTCAGTCCCAGAACACCAAGCCAAGGGCCACCATGGGAACAGAGAACAATCCAAGGGAAAACTCCAGAAAGCAAGCCAGGGTGGAGCAGGGGAGAGGTGTGTTAAAAAAAAGAGAATAAAGGAAATAGTCAAAAGTCTAAAGCTTTAATGTTAATTGTAAGACCAGATAAAACCCCCCTCTCTATACGCTGCCAATCTACCTGGAAGATATTTCCTACAGAATCTACCTGGGAAGCAATCTCTATTTCTTCTACTTTTATGGAAGTTGGTCACTCAGTGGGACAGAAGTCAATAGATTCTTCCAAGTAGGCACAAAGACCCTGAGACCCCCTCCCCTCACACTTAGTGTTGTCATGCCCCTCAACACTGAGGCTTGGCCCACCCATGGGGACACTGCCACATCAAAGACATGAAACTACCAGGCAGGAGTGTGCAGCTCTTCTCTCTCCAGGCCATGCTCTGCTGCTAGAGCCAACCACCCATTCCCGCCTCAACACTAATCACACACTAAAAAAGTGCTCAGCAGTTTTTCCAATGGACTAACTTTCTCCTGAGTTGGTCTGAGAAGGGGTTAAGCAGAGGACAGCTTCCAATGGCACACACATGGCACCCTGGTTGCTCAGACACTGGCCCTGAAACAGTTTTCCAAACATGACCATCTGCTGTGGAGGTGCCAGCACCCAAGGAAGCAAACTTCCTTCAAGATACAAATCAGTTAAATAGGCCCAGTCTGAAAGGATACAGAACCCATTCGGTGGCTTAGGAAAGTGGGAAACTAAACAGCCACAGGAGCCTTACCTTTCATAATTTAAAAGAAATCTGTACCATGGAGGTGGCTGTATCATCCAGTGTAAGGTATGCCTGTATCTGTACAGTTGTCAAGGTGGCAGCCACCTCTTACCATTGAAACTCCTACTCAGAACCTAAGCTTCAGGTAGCAACACAGGCAGGTGCATCTGTCACTGCTGAGACCAGTAGCCCAACTGCTAGATTCACCAAACCCCTTACCACCGTCCTTGCCCAGTTCCTTTTTCTTTCCCACCACACCTCCAAACCAATCCACCCTGGTCTAGGTAACAGGGACAATGTCCTAAACGCATATTTAAAATTAATCTCCAGCATCTAAAACAATTTTCTACAAAACCTCAAAATCTAAATAAAATTGTAATATTTTAAATAAGTAAAAAATGCAGTATTTTCCTATGTTTCAATCTATGTAGAATTTTCAGTAGTTTGGGGGACAGCAAATACTGATAATTACTTACCTTAATGGTGTCATAAGAATCTGTAATAAGTGCAATAAAAAGGCTGAGAATCATGTATATAAAAAGGCTGATGAAGGAATATAAATACAGACGACTGAACAGCCACACCAAGACACTCTTCTGCTGGATATGGGCAAAGGTTGCAAACATGTCATCACCGTTGACCAGAGAAAACAGGCACTCAGCAACTGTGTTCAGATTTTCAAACTATAAGGAGGAAACAAATTTAGTTTCTAAGATACAGTATCCTAAAAAGCAGAGAGGTACCTAGTTAGCTTGTTTTGTTAGCGTTGTTTTTGCCATTAGTAACATAGTAACCTTTTAAGACACCTAGAACCAATAAGAAGTAGAAAAACATTATTCAAAACCTTCCTCCACACTCTCAAAAATAATCTCCTGACATTTCCCTCAGTTTTTTCCTATACACTTTTTACATATTGGTGGTCATATTATCTAACAATTTTGGATCCTGACTTTTTTCCCTACTTACCATAAGCATTTTCTTATGTTATTGACACTGACAAAGTGTTTGTTATATAAGACAATTCCTTGCCAAATTTAACTATTTCCTTGCCACTGGACATCCCAGTAATGTTCGCTATTAGAAACAAAAATGTAGTAAACATTTCTATGCATAATGTTTTTTCCTGTTATTGAGTCTAAGCTATTAACATTCTAAAGGCTAAAGTCTACCATACTGCTTTCTGAAAGAACTGTGGCAGTCATATGTTATAACCAGCAATATATGGAAGGGACTGGGACATAGCACAGGCTCAGAAACTTTTGCTAAATGAATGGTTTCACTGTAGCTTTTCCATCCATGGATCCAGGTAATTTTAGCACATTAAAAACTGACAGCCAGAGTTGAGAAAGTGTTGAAGGAGGGATAACCATGGCTAATGCCTTCTGACAGCTCCCGCCTAACAAGTAGCCACAATCGAGATATGTAATAACGCCCTGAGGTAGAGCTGGGTGGGCTGCACAAGAAAAGTGACCCTCTGAACTGGGCCTGAAGGCTGAGTGGTTCACCAGTGAGAGGAAGAAGGGAAGAATTTGCTCCCTGAGTGTGGGGGAGACGTGGTGCTGAGCCTGAGGAGAAGGGGAGCATCTGCACTGTGCCGCAAAAGGCCTTGCTAGGTCTCCTACATACTTCAGGCTCAATGCAACCCACAATTAGAAACTAGTAAAAAATTCCAAACAGAGGACTGGCGTGTTCCGGTCTGTGTTTCCAACAGGGAACCGATGGCACGCAGAAGACCTCCTAGAATGAGGAAAGTCCAGGGGCAGGGATGCCATGGAGAGGTGACTGCAGGAGTCTGGGAGACTGAGGAGAAAATAAGTCTGGGTAGGGTAAGAGAAAGGACTATTAATGTGTTCAACTTTAGTCAAGGTGAGTTTGAGGTTCCAGGCAGAAATGTTGATATTTGGCAGTTAGCTGGAGGTTACTAGACTGGGCACACCTAGACTTCAGGAGCTGGGCTGAGGCCAATGTGGAATACCGCTGGAATCCTTAGCCAGCCATCCTGGCTGTAAGTGCTTAACTACTGCCCTGTCAACTGAAAACAAACAGCAGGTGCTTAATAAACATGTCTCTAGGGCCAGAGGGTGAGACATTAGATGAATGTGAAAAGTTTCTATCTAAAGAGCACTAATGACCCACTAGGCAAAAAACAATACGATTTTCAGAAACACAGATGAAACAGGGTTTTGAACCAAATTCTGTCCTTAGGGGTAGGGGCATGTATGTCCATGTGACTTTGGGGATACCCAAATTTCTGATGAATGTCTATGGAACATCTTCACTTGGAAGTTGTGCTATTGTTTGATGTGCAATGAAATAAAACTTTCTACCACCCTAACCAGAAAAATGGGCTTTCCTCTTAAAGTTCCCTATTTCTGTCAACTGATTCCAATCTCCAACCAAAAACAAACAAAAAAACCCAATGTTTACTCCAAAATAATCAAGTACTTAAAACTATGTGTTAAATTGATTAATCTAAATAAATAGATTAATCTTCCTCTTTCACTCTTCTAAGCCTGTCTGTTCCTATGACATGTTTCCCTGATCTGCCCTTTCTACTCTACTCTGATATCCACACATATCTGAATTGTTAAAGAAACCTCCAAAGAAGTTTCCTTCTCTCCAACCTCTTCACTCTCCAGTCCAAGCTGCAGTAAAACCTCAACTTCACAGAAGATGGCTTTAAAGCCATTTCACTTGCTTAAAGCCGTACAAGGTCTGAATGCAAAGTAAAAAGCCAAATCAAGACTAGGTGGGGATAAGTTCCTCCTTCATGTGGCCTCCTTGCATCTCCTCATTATCAGTATCAACACCCTATGCTTGTCTCCTCCCACAGCACCTGGCCCATTTCTACATTTTTTCCTCTTGAGATTTATTTTCCTCACCTGGTCTATTCTTCTTCCTCTTCTCTGTATCCAGTCAAGCCAATGTTCATGGGTTATGTCAAAGTCTACTGCAAGACAGATTGCCCTGGAAGCTCTAGTCCCTTCTCTGTCCTCTGTATCCATAAGAACCACAGGGTGAACCATGTGAAGGTCTTCTAATTATTTTTATACCCCAACTAGAGAGCAAACACTATGCCTTGTGCTCCCAGCCCCGTGGCTGGACCAGGCAGGGTCAAGTTTGTGGCCAAGGGAGAGGGTGCACAAATGCACCCCAAACAAGGAGCATGCCTCTGCCTTTGCTGCATCAGCGACAACTCTGATGAACTGGACTAAAGTCGCTCTCCATAGGGACCTGGAATGAGCACCTTGTTGAGAAAATCACTTAACAATATGCAAATTATTTAACAGTAAGACAGGCAGTTCCCAGGATAAATATTTTCCATCCCCTCCACTAGCCTTAGACGGTGAAGTTAAAGCAGGTTGCTGTGGATGTCAGTTATAACTCTGACAGCACCATTAATAATTCATATTTCTCACAGTTTCTTCTGGAACCCAGTCAATTCTTTTCTTTAGTTTCAAGAACCCCTACCAGTCTGTGCTTCAGTTTTTAGAACTGCAAATAGCTAGTTGGTCACTACATATTGAATTCATTCCTTGTAGTTATTTATTATCAGTCCACACACAATACCCGCTTCAACATTAATGTTATTCATAGCCATTCTTCCTCCCCTTCCTCTGTGCACATAAGAATTATTTTAACCCACCCCCAAATTTAAACAGAGACCTGTTAAATTACATTTTGCTCCACAAGAAGTGGCTAAACCAGAGTCAGATTCAGTGGCCCAAATTCCACAGTAGGAGCTGAAAAAATAACAGAGGTAAGGTCCTAATGTGTTCTCGGTTTGTAAGGACCACGTTTATAGGTTATTGCTTTGGTTCTTGAGAGATCATAAGCCCCTGGAAAGCAGGTACTGCTATCTCTCTTTGTTTCTTGTTCATTCAGCAAAATTGTTGAGCCCCTGCCATGTCCGATGTGCCATGCCGAACACTGGGAATGTAAGGAAGAATAAGCCATACTCCCTGCTTTCCAAGAACTCGGTCTAGAAGAACCTGGTAACATTTGGTGTACAGTAGATACTTAATAAATATTAAATGAATATTTCTATAAAAAGTTTCTGTAGGTTCCATGGGACCACAGTGAGAACCCAAGAGCTCATTTCACAAATGATAATTTGCAATTGAGACAAGAAGAACTTTCATTTAAATGAAAACACAACCTTCAATGTCTTACGTCAGAGAATGATGTAAAGGTTTGCTTCAAGAGCTGGTACTAAGAATTTCATGCACCATGTAGGTAAAATGTCACAACTGGCTAGCAGTCCTCTTGGATAAGAGGTGCTTGGCTAAAACCAGAGGCACTGGAAGCATGAATATGTAATACAGGGTATGCCAAACTTTTCCCCATGGTATTGGCAAAGTCCAACAATTTTTCAATACCTTGGTCTTCACATTTGTATAATGCAAGACTATAATTTATTCTTCACAGTAAAAAAATAAGTACTCTGGAAATGTAAAAGCTACATTAAAGTAATATTTAATAATTCAAGATGAGGTGTGGAAGGACTTCAATAGTCTCTAGCCCTCTGTATCCAGACATTTTGAAAGGATGCTGTGTCAAAGCCTATTAGTGCTGGAAACAGATATCAGCACTTTTTGTATCTTCACTCCCTTTCAGCTGAACCACTGAAATTAGATGTCTCCAGGAAGCCAGGAAGCTAAAATGTCATGGGGCTCCAGCTACTGATCACACAGTGGTATAAAATTATAATTTTCCTGATACCTGCTCTTTAGAGTTTTTTATTTGTCTGTTTTAAAGAAAGAATTAGCTTTCACACTCAAGGATTCTGTGATTCTAAGAATCCTAGAAAATGTTTGCTGTAATGTTCAGTTTTTCAAAGCTTCAGTTAACACTGAAGTTCTTCTTATTCAACAGATGCTGGCAGAACCTGAAAATTCTGACAGTTTAGATTAATTTGGGGGTGAGGGGGAAGTGTGCAGGGTGCAATAAAATTTTCTAACTTCAGATTCAAAAAAAGAAGCAATATGGAGAAGAAAAGCACAAAATTCCAGAACCAGGCTGAAGTTCTCTCCCTTTACTGACTCCTGCATTTACTGAATTAACTCAGCTGTGCATTTCCCCAATAAATTGGCCTGGCTAAATATGGGAGAGAGATGCCTTGAACAGACCTGCATAGGCAACCCTAGAAACATCCCTTAGCCCTTACTCCTCGAGGGCAGAATGGGAAGGCTGACATTAAGTGAGAGACACAAGTCTAGAGGTGCAGTGTACAGAATGGCAGCCGCTAACCGCGTAGGACTATTGAGCACCTGATATATAGCTAGTCCCAATTGAGATGTGCTGTGAGGATAAGATACACACCAGATTTCAAAGACCTAGTACCAAAAAAATGTAAAATATTTCAATATTTTATATTGATTACAATGATGAAATAATATTTTGCAAATATTAAGTTTAATGAAATATATAATTAAAATAAATTTCATCTGTTTCTTTTTTATTTTTTAATGTGGCTACTAGAAAAAAAAAATTTTTTTTTTTTCAAAGATGACCAGTAAGGGGATCTTAACACTTGACTTGGTGTTGTCAGCACCACACTCACCCAAGTGAGCTGACCGGCCATCCCTATATAGGGATCCAAACCTGTGGCCTTGGTGTTATCAGCACCACACTCTCCCAAGTGAGCCATGGACCAGCCCTGAAAATTTTAAAGTATACACATAGCTCTCATTTGTAGCTTGCATTACATTTTTAATGGACAGTGCTGGCCCAGAGCAACCCAATTTCACCTGGATCCTTTGAAAGGACAAAACTGAACATATGGAAATGCAGTCAGGTTCACAAAGCAAATAACCTCATTTTCCACAAAGTGACCTTGCCACACTGAGAGAATAAGACTGATTACATGGCTGTCCTCGCACAGTTGATCTAGAAATACCACCCAGCTTCTTTTTTTTTTTTTCCTTTTTGTCTTTTTTCATGTCCGGCAACGGACCGCAACCCTCAGTGTCGCGCCCGTACCGGACCGGGACCGGCAACGGGATTGCAACCCTCGGTGCTGCGCCCGCCCCTCGCCCAGCCAGTGAGCGGGAACCAGTCTGTATGTGGGATCCGAACCCTTGGCGGGAGCGCCGCTGCGCTCCTAAGCGGCGCACTGTAGCAGTGCGCCACCGGGCCGGCCCCCCACCCAGCTTCTTGGATGAAACTAAATGCTCTTTTGCAATGTTCTATTATAGATAATACCAAGAAAAGCCCTACAGGGTATTTATTGGTCAAAGCATGTGTACTGGGGCCAGGCAGACCTGAGTTTGAATCCCATTTCTGCCATTTACTAGCTGGGTAACCTGAGGAAAATTATTTAATATATGACAGTCTCTGTTTTCTGTAAAAAGATAATATTTCCCCACAGAGAAGGGGTGGAGAGGGTTAACACAGCAAGGGAGGTAAAGAACATGGGAACCAGGCCTAACAAATGGAACTTGAGAATGGTAGCCACTTAGTAAAATTCAAGCAACATTATCTGAGCACCTTCCAGAATAATGATGGAGTAGAGGAGACTGGGAGCGGGGGCGCGAGTGCAGTGGGATGCAAAGGAGATAGGGCCACTTGTCCTAAGATCTTGCGCCCTGTGAATTAAAGCCGAAGACTTAGGCTCAGAATTTATTCCACACAGTGCAACACTGCCCTCTAGTGACACAGAGGCAGAGAAACTTTCAGAACGTAAGGCAAGGAAGGAAGAAAAATATAAATTTCCCTGGGCATGAAGACAGTAAGTTCTCCAGATCAGAGAGATCATATCAAAGAACAATTTTTACTCATGTGTCACCTTTAAAGCAGTGACATGCAGTTGGAAGAGCAATAAAATTAACAAGATTTACTATTAGCCCAGAGGTGGTCACTTTGCTAATTACACAGTGTCTCAAATAGGAAAAACAGTAATTCTCTTTGGACATATTAAATGTGACACTTTATTGTGTCATTTCTCCTTCAAAAGGAGACTGGGTGTGCCAGGTTAGTAGGCTTTATTTTGGTAGGACAACATAGAAGCTTTGAGCTTCATGTATAGGTTACTCTTAGTGAACAGTTTGCAAACCAGACTTGATCACGTTTTGGTTAATGCAACTAGCAAGGTCAAAGATAAAGGCTGAACTGTTACACAAACTTGGAAGCAATTCTTTGCATTTATTCCTCTTTTCCTCTTGCACAGCACCTGAGTACAACAGTATCCTGGGCTGTTGTGGGGATTAACTGAGAGAAAACACGGAAATGCTCTGCATAGTGCCTAACATGTGAACAGCAAATGTTAGCTGCTATTATTTCTGTTGTTCCACCTGCCATGGGCCCAGGGAGGAAAACTGAGTTGCCATAACTCCTTTCACTTTTTTGGTTTAAAAATGAGGCCTACCTAGTTTCATTTCTTGATGTATCTACCAATAAGATTGATCATTTTGAAACAACATCTTAGCATAACTTTGATGTATCTGAGATTTTGATGCTGACTGAAGCTCAGTAATAGTTCAGAATTCAGATACTAATCTTTTTTTTTTTTAAAAGATGACCAGTAAGGGGATCTTAACCCTTGACTTGGTGTTGTCAGCACCACGCTCAGCCAGTGAGCAAACCGGCCATCCCTATATGGGATCCGAACCCGCAGCCTTGGTGTTATCAGCACCGCACTCTCCCGAGTGAGCCACGGGCCGGCCCCAGATACTAATCTTTAATAAGGCACAAAAATGATGCACTAATCAAAACCACCTGCAAAGACAAGATGTGCTATCATTTCAATCATAAACTTAACGTGGTCATTCTAGGCAGACTCTTTGCCCACCTTTATTCTCCTCAATTAACTTGATGAAAGCCCTAACACCTAAACCCTAAGATTTGGTAATAATTTTCTTCACTTAATTTCATTTTGACTATAGTAATCTCGTGTCCAAACACTTCTCATTTGATGATCAGCTGGGTGACTGTGCAACCCCTTAAGCCAGTCCCAGAGAACTGACAGGTGCTTTCTAGTCTCTTGCCATTCTTGTTTCAATTTTCTGAAGTCAATTCAATATCTTGAAGAAGAAAAGAAACAGAAAACCAATGCAAAGATATGTGCTTTCTGACATCAGGGTATGTTCTGGAGAAGAGCAGGAAGAAGGTAAATACTAGAAACCCATTTGTAAGGGTGCCCGGTGCCCAATGTGCAGAAGGAAGAATAAGTGCTACACACCTTGTCGTGATATGGTCCTAGGACAATCCAGCCACAGAATGTGTAGCCCAGATAAATCATACCAGCACAAGCACAAAACCGAAGAACCTTTGGCAGTGAGGCTTGCATTGTTAAAATGAGCACCTGAGAAAAGAAACAAACCAAATGGGTAAAATTAAAAAGTAGCTACTAGAACCCAAGAAGAAATGTGTCTCAATCACAGTAGTGCTACCCAATGCCAGATCCTTACATTATATGCCTGGAAATAACCCAGGTATCTGATGACTCCAACCCAAACAAAGAGCGTAGACGTCCCAAGCAAAATGCTGCATAGATCATAATTTGTGAGATTCTAAGGAATAAAAAAGACAAAATAAGAAAGATGAGTAAAATATTGTATTCCACTTGAAATCGATTAGAAAAGAATGAACTATCTGCCTTGTGTAGGTGAGACTAAGAATGTTTTAAGAGAAAAAAAAAGAAGAATAGAGAACACAGTCCCAAATGTGTTTCTCATCTCCAATTAGTGTTTCAATTGCTTAAAAAAAATTTTTTTTCCAAATAATATTCTGAAATAGAAATTGCATTTATTACTGACTAGGCATTAAAGAATATAAACAAATATCAAACAATACAGTCGAACGACTTTTGAGGGATTCTAGGCCTAGTCCAGGAGACAAACGCTCACAAACAGGCTCAGTGCAATGAGAGACACGAGGCCCAGCTGATCTCAGGGCCTTCCCACAGTGGGACCCCAGAGCAGAGCTGCGCCTGCATGATGGGCCAGGGAAAGCACCACAGGTGGATGGACAGAGGCACAAGGCTGAGAGGCAGCAAGACGTTCTGGAGGGGCAAGATCAGGGCAGGGAGTGGAGGCTGAGCCAGAGGATGAAGGCCCTGGAGGCCAGGCTGAGGGGAGGCCATTTCATCCCAAAGTAGGCCCCAGGAGACAGGAAGGCTTGTAACAGCAAGACAGACATTTCCAGAAGGACTCATAGCGTGCGCAGGATGTGAGGGATGTGAGGCTGAAGACAGAAAGGCAGGGGAAGGCTGTGTGCAGTGCAGGCTGGGAGGAGGACTGCCCAGAGGAGGTCGGCATGGAGGGGAGGGGGCACCTGAGCGGTTTGGAAGTGGCAGTGGCGGGCGAGACTGGCTGACGGACAGCACAGTGTGGAGGGGAGAACAGCTGGTGAAGGAGGGGTCAAGACACAGCACGAGGTGAAATCACTAATTCACACAAAGTGATAGGCACTAAAGCATTCCTGCTGCACGCTGGTTGGTGACAGCAGCAACGACCACGGATGAGCACCAGGGGGTCTGGACATGCTCAGGGGAGGGGACTGGTTTATGGGGCAGCTGATCTCTTTGCAACTTTAAAAAAAAAAAATGAAGCCCAAATAACCAATCTTTTCCAACTTCAGTTACCATTCTGAAGATGCTGCCACTTTCCTGGGGGATATGCATGAGAATATCACCTTTCATAGTACTGCAGCCGCCTTGTTTTCCCTTCACAGGGGATCAAGTCAGAGGTGGCCTCACATGAGCATCAGACTAGTCTCCATAAAAGTTTCATATCCTAAAATGCCTGAGATCATCCAGAAGAATCTAAAGAACGAAAAATGTTAAATGAGCTGCCCTCACCTTTGCTTTGATTTCCATTTTTAATATGGATCCAGTTACTGTCATTAGGTCACTGACGATCACCAGGACATACCATCCATTGATGAACTCCCACCGGTCAGCGTCACATGCACGTCGCTTGTACTTCTCCAGGAAGAAATTTAGGAATCTCTATGCAAACATTTTAAAAAGCATTTCTTACAAACCACACTGCCCTCTGGAAGGAGAAGACAAGCACAAAACAGTGCTCTTGCCTGTAAAATGGGGTGATGTTGCCTTTGCCATCTTGATAGACCCATGTCAAGTGGAGATTAGGGCATATGCTCTTCCCCATAATCCACCCCAGCAATAAGTAAGCGTTCAAACATCTGCTAAATTAACTCAACGTTAAATACGTACGCTCTAACCCCAACAGACTCTTGTCATAATAGCTAACACACAGTACATTCCAAATACTTTACATGTTATTGACTCATTCAGTCTGATGTCAACCCTGTGAACGAGGTATTATTAGCCCTACCATCCAGATGAGGAAAGTGAGGCACAGAGTGGCTAAGCTAGGATCTGAGTCCAGGCAGGCCAGCTCCAGAGCGTGTGCTCCCAATGTTGTCCCCTTACTTTGGCAGAGACAGAATCTACCCCTGAGTTCAGAATGTCAAGGGGGATTGGGAGGCAGGTATGAGAGGTGGATATTTACAAAGTAAGTTGACAAAGGTCAAGATTAAGGAAAATAGAATGTAGACTATTTCCTTGCTCCACAAACGGTATTCCAATTATTTCCCCTGACCCCAGTATGAATTTATACACATGCTACATACTGGAATAAGCCTTATAGAGAGCTAGAGTGTATAGTCATAAGGGCCTTGAGGGTAAAAAGGTAAAATGAAACTCAAGGGAGAATTTTTAAACTATCTGAAAAATAGAATAAAGTATTTTACGCTTCATTATAACCCATTTACCATCCCTCCCTGTCAAAATGAACTCTGATTTGAAGACAAAAGATGAAACCCACACATGCTATTACTCTGTTCTTAAGATCACTCCTGAATTTAAAAGGGTCTAATTTATTCTGGAAACATTAAAAAGCTTGAGAGTTCACCACTGTGCTCCTGCACATATTAGCTCAGTCTTCAGTAGGGTAATTATCTGATCCCACCTGACATCCTAGAGTCTTTACTCACTCCCTAAGCCTCAGGCTGATTAATGCCTCACGGGGGGCAGCCCCTCAAAGGAATCTAATTCAGTCAAGGGGTTCTGGAAAGGGCAGGGTGGCACACAAGTGGTCTGTTTGGGCAAATTGAGGCACAGGCCAAGAGGGGAGGAGAAAACTGGCACACACACATACCTTTCGTAACCGTAGAGCAAGAACAATGGATCTTGTGCACAGAATAAGAGACGCCAAGCAAATCACAATGACAAATGCATCGAACACCAGGACATACTGAGAATTTTTCTGAACTGAGGAACAAAAACAGAATTCAAGTGTTAAAAACACACCTTTCTTGAGAATAATTTCCAAACAAAATGGCAGTCTGAAAAGAAGTTCAAACAATCAAAGTTCTGTTTATTGTTAAAACAAAATGATAAAAATCAGAAACAAATCACACTGTATTCATTCTGAAGTCCATAAATAAGGTAAAACATTTCCTGGTGTGAAGAGTTATGAATTAAAAAACACGAACTGCTAATAAATGCACTAAAATGTACTTATAAATATTTAGTGTAGAATAGATTTCTTTTCTTTTTTTTTTCCTTTTTGTCTTTTTTACTGACCGGCAACAGGATCGCAACCCTCGGGGTTGCGCACGCACCGCACTCAGCCAGTGAGCGGGAACCGGTCTCCACATGGGATCCGAACCCTCGGCGGGAGCGCCGCCGCACTCCCAAGCAGCACACTTCTCCAGTGCACCACCCGGCCGGCCCAGTGTAGAATAGATTTCAATGAAGGTGATCCATCTGGGCTCCATTCAAAAAAGGCAAAACTACTGGTGTACTCTGAGGTCTTTCACATAAAAGCACAGAGGTCAAGTTTGCCATTAATGAGAGAACAAATTAAAACACCAACACTCAGAATGCCCATTTCTGCTTCTCAATCACTCTGTGCACTTTCCCAGCCAAGAATGCCAATTCGATAACCTTCCTCTGCCCTTAGGAAAATAAGTTCTTGGAATGGAAGTAAGGAGGAGAGTGGTCATCAGATTTTTGGTATGGAATACAGAGTAGTAGAGAGAATGTACTGGAAGGAGATGAAACTGTAACCCCAGCTTCTCTCAGACTTCATGGTAGTGTCCCAAATTCCAACCACTGCTCTCTCCAGCCTGGCCCCCTCCTTCCCTGTTCTCGCCTCAGGGACTTTGCCTGGGAACAGCACCTCTCCCCACAACACACATGCTCAGATTATTCGTTTTCAGCCTCAGGTTTCAGATTAAAAATCCCCTACATCTGAACAAAATTCTCTAAATTCCCATCTCTATTAGCCACCTCCTCTATCCAGTCATAGCACTCCCTATGACTACACACATTCATAGCTCCTTCCTGTTAGTCTCCTTTGCATGACAGCTACTGAATTTATAAAATTACATCTTCAAAGACAGCACAGCACGGAGCACAGAGACTGTAAAACGGGGAAGGACCCAGTCTCTGCAGCCCAGCAGGCTGGATCTGAATCTCAGCTCTGCACTCAGAAGCTGTGAAGCCTTGGGGAAGTTGCTTAACCCCCATGCCTCAGTTTCCTCATCTGAAAAGTGGATAGAGTAAAAACACCTATATCACAGGGCTGTTGTGAGGATTACACAAGTTCATATATGAAAAGCACTTGGAACAGCCGTAGGAAAATAATACTAGCAGGCATTTACAGTGGTTACTACAGTCATCCCTCAGTATTCATGGGAGATTATTTCCAGGACACGCCCCCCCCCCCCCGCCAGATACCAAAATTCATGGATGCTCAAGTCCCTTATATAGAGTGGTATGGTATTTGCATATAACCTACATACATCCTCCTATACACTTTAAATCATCTCTGGATTACTTATAATACCTAATACGATGTAAATGCTATGCAAATTGTTGTTATACTATATTGTTTAGAGAATAAAGGCAAGGGGAAAAGTCTGTGTATGTCCAGCACAGATGCAACCATCCATTTTTTTTCCCAAATATTTTTTAAATCTGCAGTTGATTGAATCCATGGATGCAGGACCCATGAATATGGAGGGCTGACTGTGTGTTATCATTCAATGTCCATCTTCCCCACTAAATGACTGGCTCTGAGAGGCAGGTTTGTAAGTAGTGTTGAACAAAATACAGTGCCTGTGCTTAGCATAATACTTCAATATGCTTACAAATAAATGAGGAGAATCAAGCAGAACATGAGAAGACTGCTGAATAATCTAAGCTAAAACTTATGAAGGTCTGAGCTAAGTTAGAGGTAGAGGGAAAGGAGAAGGGACAGAGTTTCGAGAGAGGAAGGGGAGAGTCACAACCTGGTCTCCAGTTGGACCTAGAGAATACAGAATGGCCAAGAATGACTCCCTGGTTTTCTGTCTTGGGTAAAATGAGTTCAGTCTGGATCTTCACAACAAGAAAGGACAATTTGGTTGCTGCTGAAGCCTTGGGTGTGGACAGCCACTCAAAGACACCACAGAGAAACAAGCAGATTAGGAGGCATGGGGTTTGGCAGAGGGAAGAGGGGAGGAGACAATGTTTGAGAATTAGAGGAGAGGAGAGGAGCTTAGGAACTAGATGAAAAGAAAGGCCAGAAGAGAAGGAAACAAGACTGGGGACAGGCAACCTTCAGAGGAGATGTACAGTCGGAGCACTGCATAGTGACACCTCTGCAGGGTAGGCATTTAAGAGGAAGACCAGAGTGCCTTTGGATTTAGCAATGCAAGGGTGCATTGCTCATCCAGTGGTTGATGAGCATGGCCAGCTAGTAAATGCAATTCATGGAGCAAATGATTTGACCTTGCTAAGCTGCAGATGCCTCAGCTACAAATGGAAAGGACAAGTGTAACTGCTTCACAGGGCTGTCATGAGAATCAGGTGAAACACCCCACCAAAGTGCTTGTTAGAGGAGCACTTAGCTCTCATTTACCTTTAGCCATCACACCCTTAAGAAATTTCACTTATTTTGAGATATCATCTAATGGGTAGGTAAGAAAACAACTTAGCTTTACCAGAATACAAGACCTTTTTTTACCTTGGACCCATGGAATGGGGCAGAGAGAACAGGGGCAGTTCTTGAGAAGATGAGACTGAAAATGTTATGAAAGGAAGGTCAGTGTCTAGTACCTTCCTTTCTGACCTATAACTAGAACAAAAATCTCTAAGATTGCTTTTACTGGGCCTTACTTACACATGGAAAATCAACAGACCCAGAAAGATAAACCATCCCTCCTAACAGAGAATCTGGTATAGTATTCTGTTTTTTCTACAAACTATTGAGAAAGCTAGTTCGGTATGCTACAAGGAAGTATTTTTTGGACATCATAATTGCTTTCTTACTCTACTGAAACCATGTTACCCCACAAGAACTTTTGTCAAACCTGGGTTTGTAAAACACTAATCCAGAAAGATGCCCCAGCCACCTTGGTTAGGGACGTCCCACATACCCCTCAGCCTTTTCAAAGGCCCATGAAGTAGTACACACACCATCACTGGCATGCCTGTGGGACTCTAACTAAGGGCTTCCCAAACGTATTGAAACCCTTTTCCCTGTAATACCATTTACACAACCAATCAATGGGGAATCCCAGCTACTAATTCCTCCCCAAGCCTCTCATGCCCAATTGCTATATTTATAAAATCAAGTTAAATGAAGAGTAGTAGCATACTTGGAGATGGGTAAAAGAATTTGTAAAAGGCAGCAGGAGGTTTGTATGTGAAAATGGACATTCTCTCAATTTTGCCTTGAGATAATATGGGTAATGACAAGAGAAAGAGAAGCCTGGGGATAAGTGTATAAATGTGAACGAACTTCAGAACTTTTTGGAAATAGTGTAAAGACCCCACCAGATGTCACCCTTGCCCTGGTTCCACTTTCCCCAAAGCTAGGGCAATCTCGATCCACCAGTTTCATATAGGAAAAAATCCATTTCCTAACTTTTTTTTTTTTTTTCAAACTTCAGCTTTTTAAGCCTTTCACATCACATCATTTTATTTTAAATTTGTATTCTCCTAGTGATGGAATCTGGTTTCTTAAGACACAGCCCTCGGAGAAGCATATGTAAGTAAATTTTAGCGTTTTTACTCAGCAGTCTGTGAGGTTTGTGTTTCCCCTCATTGGCCACAGGAGGGAGGAAGAGCTCCTCTCTTCTGAGCAAAGGGCAAGGAAAAACCCCTCAAAGAGCGATGAGCCTGGTTAGTGAGGAAGGAAACAACTCGGTCTGACAACAAATTTGACCAATTAACTCATTCTGTTATTTTGATCTTCATAATGACTAATCCAAATCACATTTTATATGCGACAAAGGTTAGCTTTTTTTCACAAAAAATAGTTGCAACCTATACTTGGACTTGGAAAATAAGCAACTGACCTGTGCATGTCTGTCAGAGAGAGCGGTGTCCTGTCCGCTGGGGAATAGTAACCACTTACTGATAGAAACCAAAATCGTGCATGCTAATCAGAGGCTTAGGTCAATTAACGGAACTACTGAAACCAAAATACTGAAACCATCACGGCGTATTATACAACCTTTCCACACGCCACAAATCAGATCTAGTCTAAAACAAATCTAAAGTAGGAACCACAGGTATTTTACATTCTATTTTGTTCTGATAATCTGGTTAAGGGAAATTCACTTAAACAAAACCTGTAAATTAAAAAATAATGACCATCCATCATTAACATCACCCCGACCCCTCCCTGAACAAACAGAACAGGTTCCTTGTAGCCCATTTTAAATGTGTGGATTAAAAGGTGTTTTCGAGCAATGACCGAGGAAATGACCCAGCATTTGCAGAGGCTGCAGTCTGGGCTCTGAAGAATCCTTCTCCACTGTCCAAGGCTCAGATCAAAGCATGCTTTCTCCAAGAATCACTTCTACATTACATTTCTCACTCTGCCCCAGTCAGATTTAACCTTTGCCTTCTTTCTGTGCATACCTTGTGCCTGTGCACCACTTGTTCCTATCCATAACACATTAGACATTCTATCAGCATGACAGTCTCCCTCACGAAGGCACTTTCTTTCTTTCCCATAGTGCCTAGCAAGTAACGTGTCAACTCTTGTGCTCAGGGCTTTGCTTGGCATACTAACTCTTCTAATACTCAACATCATGGAAAGTTACTGCTATTATTACCCTCATTTTACAGAGAAAGATACCGAGACAGAGAGATTAATTTGTCCAAGATCACAGGAATAGTAAACACAATTAAGACCCAAACCCAGGCAGTCTGGCTTCAGAGCCTGATCTCTTAACTACCTCTCCTAAGTGGTGTGTAATAGACATTGGCTGAATTAAATAAAAATGCAAAGCTTTGGGATATGCTTTGCAGAATCTAATGCTCAAAATGTAGTTTTCTGGAACACTTTCTTCCTATCACCACCCAAATAAACCATTTAAACACCCCAGATCCTAAAATAAAATGTTAAAATCATCCATAATCCACAATGGGCAAGTATACAGCATACTCACCAGATCCAAATATGTTCAAGTCTTTACATTCCTCAATGTTGGCATCACTGTCAAAATATATTTTAATTTTGCCACTGTGAGCTTTATTGTCAAAGGTAATCTGGGGACACAAATACATAGAGAAGTTACAGCCCAGCAGAAAGTATGACTTATTAGATCAACTCTGCTCTAAAAAAGAAAAAAAAAATTAGTGGCATCCAGTGTACTGATCCAAAGAGAATTATACTGACGAAAATGTCCTCATCACAGGATTTCTTCATAACTTTGTATTAATAATAAAAAAATTATGATCCGAAGAGTGAATACATGAAGTTCTACTAAATCCCGGATTTCAGATATCTGGTTCAGAGAAATCCTAGAGCAAAACAGTCCCAGGCACAAAAACCAGAATTCACCAGTCTTTGACAAGAGAACACAATGACCTCATTTATTACTCTGAATGGAATTTAAAAGCATTTCCTTCAATTTAGTCCTTTGGGTATTAAATTCTAGGTTTTTACTAGGCTGGAAATTATTTTTCTGTTTGCTTCAAGAGCTACATATAATGCTTTCAGAAACAATGAAGACTGTTCCAAGGCTGTGGGCTTCAGATGTACAAATGCCCTCAATCTTCCACATTATGGAATTTAAATCAATCATTTAAATCACTTAAAGTTTATAAGTGATATATGCCAAGTAATTCTTAGGGTGAACACATCAAGAAATCCAAAAAAATTCACAAAGAGCTTGGAGAGCTGAACGTGCAGATGATCAAACCTACATGCACCTGCACCTCTGAACATAAAAGCCAAGTTCCATGTAATCCAAGAACATCACTATGACTAAACCAGAGGTGGGAGAATTAAACCATATTGGCCTCATTTCCATAACTACGAGCTATGACTAAACCTCCACTCAGACTGGCACTCGAGTCTCTGTTTCCCCCAGGAGATCCCCTAAAATACTTCTCTTAAGCCTTTAGAATATTAAGCAGAGAACAAACAGAAGGCCAAAGAACAAAACAAAAATGAAGAGCCAAATTTTTTTTTAACTCACACTGCTGGCCATGTCATGACCAAGCCATCAGTGACCTTGTCTTTGCGGACCCCCCCCCATGCTCCACTCCTGCCTCTCTCCTTGTCCCCCAACATGCTCCCCATGGTCCTCTGGCCCACCCACCCCAGGGAGGCTAACCATGCTCTTCTCAGCTGAGATGTTCCTCCTTAACACACGGCACAATCTGCAGTTACTTTTATTTCTTTGTTTACTTGTTTTTCTATCTGTTTCCTCCACTAGGCTATAAGCTTCCTCAGGGCCACTAGGGCATAACAAAATGCTTGTGCTTCGTAGGGACACATTAGGTATTTATTGATTGTTGTTGAATGAAGCACTCTTCTGAATTGCTGAAAGACAGTATGTACAACTTCTGGCTTAGTATTCAGGTTAGCCCCTTAGCAAACAGAAGGAAGGAAAGGAGGAAGGAAAAAGAAAGTCCATGAAAGCGAAAAGCAGTTTACTTTCCCCACTAAAGTGGACAGTCTCTTCTACCACACATGCCGTCTCCCAAAATAAAAGGAAAAACAACTGCTCCTTTGCAAACTGGCCTTCAGATCAAGGGGGCAATTTCTGCCTTGAGATTTGAAAACATTTGCTACAACATTTTCAAAGACCTTCTTTTGAAGCTGGGAAAAGTACTATAGATACTTAGAATGCTTGTCATAAACATTTTTTTAAATGTCTTGGGAGGGCCGGCCCCGTGGCGCACTCTGGAGAGTGCGGCGCTGGGAGCGCAGCGACGCTCCCACCACGGGTTTGGATCCTATATAGGACTGGCCGGTGTGCTCGCTGGCTGAGCGCAGTGCGGGCGACGCCACACCAAGGGTTGTGATCCCCTTACCGGTCACGAAAAAGACAAAAAAAAAAAAAAAAAAAGAAAAGTCTTGGGAGAGTAGATCAGAGCCAATTTTGTAAACTCCTCTTTTTAACCCAGAAGTCTAGTTTTGAAAAGTTGGAAAGGGCTTGTTTTATCTTTAGAAGCACTGGTCTCTAGATCAACAATACCATAATGTACCTTCAAAACTTAATTTTATTTTATTTTTGCAGCTGGCAGTAAAACTATTTTAAACACAACTGACCGGTCACAAAAAAAAAAAAAAAAAAAAAAAAAAAAAGAAAAGTCTTGGGAGAGTAGATCAGAGCCAATTTTGTAAACTCCTCTTTTTAACCCAGAAGTCTAGTTTTGAAAAGTTGGAAAGGGCTTGTTTTATCTTTAGAAGCACTGGTCTCTAGATCAACAATACCATAATGTACCTTCAAAACTTAATTTTATTTTATTTTTGCAGCTGGCAGTAAAACTATTTTAAACACAACTGCATCTAACACATCTATTGGCTGATGTGTTTTATATTCTGCATTTACAGGTGTAGATGAAAGGTGTAGGGAAAAATAATAAAGTGGCTTAGTGAAACAAAGACACTTGCCGTATTCCGAAAGACGTAACAGTCCGGTAACTCACGGGAATGAATTGTCTGTAGGTCAATACCTTTGAGGTGAAAGGAGATTTCAACTTGTAAGAGCCTAAATAAAACATATTAAAAAGTATAGTCTTACTTTTGTCATAGTCTTACCACCCCTGTCTCCTGGGAAATGAGACTTAAAAATGTACTTACCGATAAAATTCCAGTCTGAGGAATGATGAGTTCCTCCAGTCCGGAGGGTTCCTGGCAAGGGCCTGAAGGTCTAAGTGGACACAATCTTGGGAAATAAAAGAACAAGCAAGGGTTGTTTCTGGCAAGAATCAGAGGCTAAACACTAGTGGGCAAAAGTGTGATGAGAAGCAGGACACTTAGAGAGCTTCAAAGTATCTCTCCAGAAAATACTAATTACACAGGAAGAATAATTGTAACCTCACAGTTGAGAACCTGGCAGACACCACACTAACGCAGTGATCAAAGTTATCATCACCAGTGATAAGATACAGAGGCATCATGAGCCTCCTGATACGATGTACTGAGAAGGACACAACAGCACTTGTGCAGTATTCCTGCCAAAGGAACAGGCTGTTGCTGTCCCTTGTGAGCTGCCTTTGAAATGGAAAACTCAGAGCCTAGTGCAGTGCCTGGTACCCAGTAGGTGCTCAAGAACCTTGGTAGACTCAATGGCTAATTCTTTAAGAGTGTTTTCCCACAATTGCTACTCTTTATTTGCTTATTTATCCTTTCAACTAGAGGATAAGGTCTTTGAGAGCCAGAGCACAACTATGTTGCACCTTGGTAAACACTCATTGCCTAGCATACAGCTGGCACTTAAAATATGTTGCAATAAATGGGACACACTTATGTTTAATGAAAATTAGGCATCCTGGGCCAAAAACAGGGACACAGAACTGAACAGACAACTCAACAAGTAATTTAAGAAAGGTAGGTCTCAGAGCAGGTATCTCCCTGTATTTGGCAAATGGAACATTAGAGTAAAGAAATGATTCAATGTTGGTTTTCCTGACTAGAGCTTGGTTAACACAGTGAGGGCAGTTAATCAAAATAAACTTGTTTTCAGGCAGGAAAAGACTGGTGATAATAAAAACAGCTAAATCATACTGGGAGCTTACTCCATGCCAGGCACTGCACTAGGGCTGTACATGTTCTCTCATTTAACGCATCGTCCTGTTTATTCCTCAAAGCAACCTTGTGAGATAGATACTACTGCTGCCATTTTACAGATAAACAAACCAAGGCACAGAGAGGTCAAGAAACTTCCTCAAGTTTACACAGCTAGCCGGTAGCTATCCAAAATTTTAATCCAGCTGTGCTTGGTTCCAGAGCCTGAGCTCCACCAGTATGGAGAAGGCTGACCTCTGAGCACACATTTCAGAAGAACATCCAAGTCCCAGGCTCCCTACCTGACTCATTCATTCATCAGCATATATTTACTGAAAGCCAGGCACTGTGCTAGGCACCAAAAGTAAAGCAATGAACAAGACAAACAAGGTCACTGAATGCTTTTGTCGAGCTCACATTTTAGTATGGGAGATAATCAATAAGTAAAAACTGTATAAGAGATAATTTCACAGTGTGAGCATACTGTGAAGACAGAGTAAAGTGATTGAGAATAACTAGGTGGGTAGCCCTATCTTAGGAAAGGTAGTTAGGGAACGACTCTGAGGTGCTGATGATGTTTGAACTGAAACCTGAGGGAAGAAAAAGAACCAGCTACACATAGATCCAGGGAAAGTGCTCTAGGTAGGAAGAAAAGCAAGCACTAAGGCCCCCAGGCAAGGAGGACCCTGGCTTGTTCAACAGACAGAAAGAATGCTGGAACAGAGAAATGGGCACAGGAATAGGAGGGGCTTGGAGAGGCAGGTAGGTCGGTGGCCAGTTCCTACAGGGACTTGTGAATTTTATTCTAAATACGATGGGAAACCACTCATGGTTTTTATGCCAGGGAGTGATATGAATCAATTTACATGTTTAATAATATCACTCTGGTTGCCGTGGGGCATGGCAGGGGATAGCAGAGGTAAGACCAGAAGCAGGGAGACCAGTCTAACGAAGAGAGGATAGGGTCTTGGACTACAGTGGTGACGGTGGGAATGAAAAAATCAGCAAATTCATGTTTAAAACTTCAGCAACTGTGAATTTTAAAGTATTATACAAAAATGTTGGTACCATTATCTGAGATGAGGAAGCCTAAGAAAGAAGTAGGTTGGGCCACGAGATGGGGGAGGTTTGAAGTGTTCTGTTTTGATACAGCAAGTTCGAAATACCTATCAGACAACAACACCGTGAGGTTGTTGAGTAGCCAGATGACTCCATGAGGAGTCTGGAACTCGGGGAGAATTGAGGGTAGACATGTAAATGTGGGTGCCTGAGAGTAAGGGCATGACTTCTCAAAAGCTGAAAGGGTGGGCCCTGGTGCTCGGGTTAGGATTTTAACTGTGGCCTCAGCCCTGTGCTGCTTTGTAACACAAGGGTGAAAAGGAGTGAAAGGAAACCATACGAGGGGCTTTAAGATGTGGCAGCCAGAAGATGCGGGCATTCTGCTCTGGCACTTTCCTGCAGTAAGCGTCAGCTCCTGGGCATAGGGACACAAGAGGCTGGAAACTAATGATGGCCAGAGAACTGGGTGAGAAAGAAGGAGAGGCAAGCACCTTGGCAGCTTCTGTAAGGGGATGATATTGGCAGGTACAGAAGGCTGAAGACAGGAGGTGGTGGTGGACGGTGGGAGATGTGAGGAAGTCAGACGGAAAAGAGGTCTACGTGAAGTCAAAGATCATTAGCCAGAGAGCACTGAACCAGTGCTTCAAACATTTAATGTTCATGAATCACATGGGGATCCTGTTAAGATGCACATTTGGATTCAGGAGCTCTAGGGAGGGGCCTGAGACTCTGCCTTTCTCACAGTCTCCCAGGTGATGCCCATGTTGCTGGTCGCTGAGTGGCAAAGACCTACCATCACTAAATCATTATGTGACTTTAGTTGCCTAGCTTGACTGAACGTCAATTTCCTCACCTGTAAAATGACAGGCAAACATGATATTTAAGGTCCTTCTACCTCTAACATTATTATTCTAAAGTGAAGTAAAAAAAAATTAAATTAAACTTATCTGAGTAAATGACTACACTCTGAAAGAAGTAACATGTTCAAGATCTACTAGGATATTTCAAAAAGTTCATGGAAAAATCGAATTAAAAGATAATACAAATCCTTACATGAACTTTTTGAAGACCCCCTGTATGTGCTAGGTGCTGTCTCAGGTCTTTTTCTCCTGTATTTCATTCACACTAAGATACACATTTTTTCACTTTTAAACATCTCTAAAGCAGATGAGTCTTTAAAATAACTAATGGAATCTTAGATTCAGAGAAATGTGACAGAATCTTGTTAGTCAATTTTACACTATTTGTAAAATTGGCCTTATAAAAGTCTGTTTTGTTGCTCAAATTTTGTATTATTTTGTTTGTAGTCATAGAGTTACACTTTATCTAAATACACTTTCAGAACTTTCAGAAATCTGGCTAACCTTAGACTGTAGTAATTGCTACTGAGGCCACCAAGCACCTGGTGGCAGAAAACTGAGATTTTTTTTTTTAAAGAATGGCAAAAGCCATTCTTTAAGTAAAACATCAAACCCCAAACAGAACAAACTGATGCCTAGAGTAAAAGCCTCATCCCTCAAATGAATCTCGCCTACAAAGCAGAATTCTCCAGCCAGTGAAATAATAATCCTCTTAGAGGAAAGGTAGATTAGACATGTTCTTAAAACAGTGGGAAAATGACAAAATGGTCATAATGTCTCATGCTAAGAACATGCGGAAAGAAGAACATAAGAAACTCCAAAAGTGTATTATAGAAAATGAAACACTATATTAGAATGATAGCCACTTAATAATTGTGGTGAAAAAAAAAATTTTTTTTAACAGGATTCATAACAGTCCTCCCAATGAGGCTGAACTGGAAAGCTACAGTTCTAGAGGCAAAAATGGGAGGTAGGTATACGTGCAATAGCATAAACTAAGGAAAACACTTAGCTTAATCTACACAATCACTTGTGCAACTAAATATAACTTTACCCACCAAGAAAGCTGGGCATATAGGCAGATCTCTGTCTGTACTGTGCACACTAAGGGATGATTCTCTTAATAGTGAAGATACCGTAAAATTAATGAGCAGTTTATCTAGAACAGCTTCTGCTAATTCACTTAACTATAATGCCACACCAGTGCAATCAAACTCAATTCCTATTTATATCATCTGCAAGTTTCCCCCAGGTGTCTAAGAAAAGAGGTTCTAAAATCCAGTATCAAGTGTTTTTAAAATCTTTTTACACCTTTTGAATAGATACATAGAAAGATTCTTTGAGAAGTTATACTTAATAAGTCAAAGAATACAATTAACCTGCTTAAGTAATCTCTCAAAGTCAAATTAATAACCAAATTTTTTTCCATTTAGTTAGAAGTATTCCATATTGTGATAGAAAGGAAATGAACAAGGGCACCTGTGTCCAATGGTCAGGGAATAAATCCTGCTTTCTGGCACTGCCTGCCCTACCTAGCAACTGATATTGACTTTGGCCACAATTCTTTAATCAATTTTCCAAGGAAAATCAATTGAGAAAAACAGCATATGAATCACTGGCAAACAGTTGGATGGTGAATCCAATTTGAGTCACACGTTTTTAAAAGGGCAAGTGACAGATGGCTTACTTGAAGCAGAGGGTGACTGGCCAAGCTTTCAGCCCCACCTATCAAGTTGTCCTATCCCAGGCATCACGCTGACCACCTCAGGTAAAAGATTGAGAGTGAAACAGGATTAGTCCCTGTAGGTGGACTATCAAACAGATCTCAGGTTAGCAGAGCCTCCAGGGCAATAAGACCAGTGACATTTCAATGTTGCTGGCTATAGAACCAAGCAACTGTCCTCTAGATGGTCCACGAAAGCAACCTGGGAGCCAGACACCACTATGGCCCCTGATGGTGCTGGTTTGGGGATGTTTCTTTCAGAGTCAAGAGCATGGGACACATTTACTCACAGAGAGATTTTGAACAGGCAGCCTGTGGAAACAGAAATAAAACCTCTGTTTTATAGGGGTGTTCTCCTGTTGTGTTACCAAGGCACCTCAAGATGAGACTGTAGGAAATAGGGTCAAATTAACTGAGCGATGCTCTCATTTTAATAAAACCATTCCAAATTTAAACTGCTACTAGAACTCCTACTCTTCAACTGTTGGCTACTTGAGGAGCCATGACTGATTAATCTTTGTAACCTCAGTATTTAAAACAGAGAGTGTGCTGGGCCTGATGGCTATACACCAGAGGTTTGTTGAATGAATGACAAAACCCTCAAAGTCTTAAGTCAAACACTTTGTATTCACTTATTGTGTGCTTTTAAATTCTTAACAGAATGGCACAAAACAATTCTACTTGATTAGCTATTAACTTTTTGGCAAGTGAGCTTCTAAAAGAGAAAACAAGTTATTAATCACAATTCACCTTTGAAGAGCATTTATATATTTTACAAATGATAAAAACAGGGGGACTGGCCATTAGTTCAGTTGGTTAAAGTCTGGTGCTGACAACACCAAGGTCCAGGTTTCGATCCCCGTACTTACCAGCTGCCAAAAAAAACATTTAATTCATTTAATACACACAGACCCACTTTTTCAAAAAGCCTAATTGCCCTCTCATGGATGGCAAAACCTAAACCAACAGGAAACACCTGTGCATTTATTCCAAAACCAACAGTCTTGAGTCTTACCAAAGAGATCCACAAATGCTGTCCCTGTCCCAATCACCACAGCCGCACAGTGTCCTGATCCAAAGTTCCTTGCAGGCAAATGTTAAAAGTGACAGCCTCAAACAGGTTAGTTCTCATGAAAGCAAAGTTGTTCCATTTGGGTTGCTAGCACATGAGGGCATTTTTGCTCTTACCACAGAAGATGATAAAGGCACATAGTGAAGTGATCACTGCATACCTATCTCAATGTCGCTGTCAATGTTCAGTGTCTCATTAGAAGGAAACATGGTTCCTTTCTTGTAATGCTGCTTACAGATTTTTAAGCCAATTCTGTTGTCTTCATTTTCTCCATAACCAAGGGTCCCCAGGGAAATGTTCTTAAGATGGTGATACTATTAAAAAATAGTTAAAAACACATAAGAGCTTTTAAAGGTTTGATCAGAAGTTATAGTTATGGAAAGCATTTTTAGCTTCTTTTTATTGTTTAAATCATGCCCTCAAGAATGTCCCAATTTAAAATACCATGAAGTAGCAGTCTTGTAGTAAAGAACTTTAATTTTGCTTAACTTGGTATTTCCCAAAATTATGTAACAGTATAATATATAATCTTTTTTCACCTAATACCTATAAATAGATCATAGCACATTTTTGGAAATTCTGATTTGGGCATGCAATTTAAAAAGGTGTATTTTTATATATTTCTTTTTTTTTTTTTTTTTTTTTTTTT